TTTTTTTATAAGAGATGTAGATGAGTTGACATTGTATTCCAAATTATATTATAGTTCTTGAAAATTCCTAGATCACTCGCATTAGTAGCATTTGGTCAGGAGTGGTGGAACTGTTTTGAAAATCTGAAAAATAAAAAAATAGCAAAGTAAAAGTTGTTGAACAAAACAAAAAACCAGTTACAATAGTATTATCTTTCAGACTAAGAATTTGTTAGATGCTATTTAGATTTTAATATAACCACAGGGTATTAACTAGGTTTGTTTATTTGTTTTTTGATAGTTTTTGTTTTATTCTTATTATTAAAGAAGTAAAAATACTTTTGAAATTAGGAGGACAAATTATCAGTAGAAACGAAAGGCCTGACCACCCTTAGTTTGCAATGATTAACAACTTCTGAAAGTAGTGTGTGCTAATTATACTTGGTCAGTTTCATTTGGAGGCCTGTTTTGGAGATTATTTTATACCCTCTGAGGTCAATAGAGCATTTGTTTTTAAAACAGTATGATAGAGTTTTAATTAGGCTTTAAATGTTTATGGAAGACTACATTGTGTGTATGTACATAAATTAATGTTTCCAGATTTCCCAGGTTTTCCAAATTTTAAAAATAGCTTATTATGCTTTTGTCCTATTGATTTGATCATGAAGGAGAAAAATCAGTGATGATAAGCAGTGAATTTATGGAAGTGCCATATATAACCCAAGCTTCAAACATAATGCATTCTGATAAAAATGTTTCTGGTCATTTGGAGACAGGATATAAAATAATCTTCTACTATTCCTTCTCACTAAGCACAGAAAGAGACGAATCTTGTTCAGAAGCTGAAGAATGAACATTGGGATAACCTCTCAAAGGTCTTACTAGCCCTTTTTAAATCTATCTAATCCCTCAAACTCTACTGTTTTCCCTTTTTGTTTTGATTTAGCAGGAAGGGAGCATAAAATAGAGTATTGGTCTTTAATTTTAAAAACTTTCATACACTGAATGTGTTTTTATTTTTAGTCAGAGTACAGTTTTTCCTCTAACATGATTTCTTTTTTCTTTTCCTTACATGGTTGTAGAGTCATTCCATCTGTAGTTCCTTAGAAGGCAAGGTTATGTTAATTTTGTTCTAAAACTCAGTAGGACGGAAGGGTTTTTAAGTATATTTTACCTAGTGAAAAACTTAACCACAGAACAAAAAGCAATGTAAGTGTAATAGTGCTAATAGATAAAATGAAATCTGAAGTCTAATGTTTTATTATTAATTCCATAGTAGCTATTTTCTGTGTTGCATATGAGAAAAACAATGTAATAATAATAAAAGAAAATGTTTAGGGAAGAAAAGGGAGAAATTAGCGCACCGTTCCTATTCTTCTAATTCTTTCGTCAAAAGAAATGCAGTATTTGTAATTCATACCTGTACAACCTGTACAACCTTGACTCAAAGACAAAGAACTAAAATATGTCTAAGTCCTAGTGTCTGCAAATGTTTTCAGTGAGTTGAAAGTCTCAAATCAGACCAGAACCCGCAAAAAGAATATTCTTCTAACAGAATATGAAGAATATGCTCTATTTACCAATTTTTAAGAAGTTGACTTTTTTTTTTTTTTTTGTAAAACAGTAAATGGTAGTGTTTATTTTGCAAACAAATTGCCTTCCATCTCTGGAGGCATTCAAGGCCGGGCTGGATGTAGCTCTGGGCAGCCTGGCCTGGTGGTTGGCAACCCTGCACATAGCAGGGGGGTTGAGACTAGGTGATGATTGTGGTCCTTTTCAACCCAGGCCACTCTATGATTCTGTGATTCTATGTACACAGGTTATGCCATTTTTAGTCTCAATTGTTGTTCTGTTATAGAGTTGTTAAAATAATGTCCTATGTGATCAAAGTTGTGTGTTCAATAAGTACTTCCTGTGCATATCATACACACAGGCTTTTAAAATAATTTATTTAAAAACTGATATTAATCTCCTGTCCTTCAAAACTTTTTGGTTATCCCTTTTTGGTATTAACACATACAGCTATCTCTGTAATTTATGTAATTGTTCCATCCAGACATTTATGGTATATAGGGTAGAGAGGATCTGCTGTAGATACCATAGGTCTAACTAGCAGCTTGTTCCTTCTGTTCTGAAATTTCATGTAGGAAGATGAGGTAATGATGTGTTGTGGTGATATTATTTCTTTCTTTGGTAAAGTGATTATTTTTTCTTTTATGCTAGATCCACAGAGTGAAATATAAATTAATGTGCTGTACTACTTTACTTTTTAAGCATCTAGTTCATTCCAAAGTTAAAATTATCCTACGTTAGTGTGATCTTTTGAGAGATCTTATAGCAGTAGCATTTATCAATGACACAAGTTACAGAAATAATGCAGAAAAGGAGCCAGAATCTCAGCTGAAGTCTGTATAAATCTCATCTGTCTCTCTTGGTTGGAGTGATGCTGATGTTGCAATATTTAGGCAAAACAGGGAAGAACTTGGCTGCTTTCATATCTCTAAATTTAGTATGTGGGTGGGCCAGGACAGTGAGCAGTTTATAACATCTCTGTGCAGCAAACTTAATAAATCCATTTTGTATGTGACCTCTGTAAACCTTTCATCATATATTAAAAATGTTGCTGTGCTGTTGACAATGAGTGTCAGTAGGAAGAAAGAATGGAGGAAGACCTTGTACACTTATTTTGTTTCCTGAAATGTTAAAAGCACTATAATTATGGGTCATTTGCATGATTTCTTTGGTAATTAAGAGTTTTAATTGCATTTAGTTCTAGGGAATTAGTTAAGCTGTTCATTATGCATATTTCCTTCCATAAGCATCATCTCTTCTCATACACTAAGTTTAGTTACATCATGGAAGTAAATTAAGTCTTTTAAGACAGTAGTGAAGTACATTTCTTTGTATGAGCTGGATTAGAAAAAGTCTTTGAAAAGCTTTGATAATGCTGTTTTGTGCAACATTTAAGTTTTGTCTTCAAAAGTGAAAGCCTGTCAGGGCTTCATTTACTGTTTTCAAGTTGCATAGAGTTCTTAGGGTAACAAACTAATCTATTCTTAGGAAAACCTATAGGCAGAAGTATGCTTCAGTTCTAATTGCAGCTGTTTCAGATTTGCATATTTATAGTAAAAATACTGATCAACAGTTGAAATATCATATTGTTCAAACTGGAATAAGAAAAGAAGGCATTTAGAGACTGTATAAATGAAATCAGCACAGGAGAGATTGGTTTAGTTTTGTTGGCTCACCGAAAGTTACTAACGTTTGCTTTATGAAATGCAAGGTAGAAAACACATTTTGCTTTTCCTTGGCTGACCCCAAATTCTTGAAGATGCATTCATGCTTTTCAGCTTTTGCTGAAAGAAAACCATTATTTTCAGTGTTACTGGTTACTTTTTTTTTTTTTTTTTTTTTAAATAGGGTTCGCTCTGCTATTATTACACACTCTGAAATATGCAAACATATTTCAATTCAATTAGTACTCTTCAATACAGTACTCTTCGGTACTGTATTTCATGTCTAGAAAATACTTCTGTTTTGCTAAAATGTACCCTACCCATATAATATGGAAAAATGAAAAGTTCTATGAAATGGTGCACTGGCCAATTGCAATAACTCCAGTGTTATTCAGATACGTGCATAAAAACTGAGAGGACAAACTTTTCAGCACTTTAGTTATTCCTATATCTTAACATCTTTGAGATCAATAAAAATATTGCAGTGGTGGGAAGTATGAAGAAGTATTATCTATCAATATTATCTATCTAATTTTATATCAGATGCTGAAGTAGCTTTCTAAATTTTACTTAGGCAAACCAAACATTACTGAAGGTGAGATTGTACATTTGGTAATCATATTTATTTTTAATGAATATTAATTACTATGTAGTTGACTGAGCTCATGATTGTTACTTTAAAACACACATGATTTTTATTTTTTTTTTCCAATAATATGTGTAATTTGAACACCTTTGGTTGTTTTCTTCCAAGTTTTTCCAGACTTTGTATGTTTGTTATATATGTATATGGATAATGCATGCTATATAAAGAGGTTGGATGTTTCATCTCTCTTATTTTGGTTAGTTTAATTTACAACATCTAAATTTAACAATTGCTAAAGTAATTAAACCGAATAGTGTGAAGTACCTTTATGTTAGGACTTAAAAAGTACTCGATACTAATTGCTTGCTTTTTTCAGAAAAGTCAATTTCTAATCCAGTAATCAAAAACTACCATACGTTATCCAGATTAGTTTAAATGCCAAAACAGAGAAAATGAATGCATTTATTTTTTTTTAAGTATAGCTATTCAATTTGAAAACTACTGTATTTCTTATTCAGTATTGTACTGTTAAACTCAAATTTCACACAAATAATAATTATTTTTTACAACCTTGATTTCATGTTGTCAGTAATTTCACTACTCAGTGATTTTGACTGTTTTAAGATATGTAACTTTAACCTGACTAAACTGTATTCTATGAAAGTAGCAGTCCAATATAATTGCTGATTTTCTTGTCACCATTGTTTTGAAAGATATAAAACATGAGGCCATTAATTAGCAGTACTCTTCTGACAAATAATTTCTACCTAACTCTCCACTCACTTAGAGTCCTAATATTGACCTAAGTACTTTAGTCTTTTCACCTTTCATATACAGTAAGAAATGCATCATCTGTACGTGAAAGTTGTAAAGTTGGTCTTAGTTAAATTGCCTGCTTGTAAAGCTATGTAAGCACATGCTTAACTTTACATTAAGCCTCTGCTTAAATCTATTGCTGTAAAAGAAATTTCTTAGGAATATTTGGGATTTGAATATGTGTGTTGATGCTTTTTGAATTAATTAATTAATTTAAGGTTAGTTACCTTACAGATGTTCAAATTTGGAGGTTTAGCCACGTTCTAATTAGGGATTGCTAAATCTGTTTTATTCAGTATCATTCTTTCTTTATAAATAGAGTATTAAAAGTTTGTAATAACATTATTCTTTCGCTTCTTTTTCCTTACTTCCTTGTTTCTCAGTGTCTCGTGTTTGAAGATTCACCACTTGGAGTCAAAGGAGCACTGGCAGCAGGAATGCAAGTGGTTATGATTCCAGATGAAAATTTAAGTCCTGATCTTAAAAAGGAGGCAACTCTGCTGCTGAACTCCATGGAGGACTTTAAACCAGAGCTTTTTGGTTTACCAGCATATGATTAATACCTAATGTCTATGTTCATAAGCTTGACTGGAGTTCAGGAAACTGAAATGAAATCTTGTTAAGATTTTATAATTGCTTTGCTTCGTCTCTTTCTTAAATCAAGAGCACAGAAATCCTGTTAACACTGCGTCTTCCACAGTGGTCTAGCCTTTGAAAATTGACTGAAATATTACATATTTGCTCTCATGATATATTTGAAGTTAAAACAGTGTTTCATCTTCTGAAGTGATCCAGCTTTGTTCTCTGTACATCATAATGTTTTCTGGGAATATTATGAAACTATTTAGACAACTTATTGTAATTACATTAGAAACTTCTTGTACTGTTTCCATTTGAATGGCTTATTGTTTAGCCTTTAACCTGAAATCTGTTCTGGATTGGCTTTTATCACATTACATTGTTTTTGATACAGTTATCACTATAAACACATATAGTTTAACATTTCCTCATCCTTTGCTTGCCTGTCTTTTCCTCTTTGTATCCTCATAATTTTTATTTTTATTTTTTTTTTTACACTTCCTGTGTGTGGTTTTGTTTTGTTTGTTTGTTTATTTGTTTCCTTTTCTTGGATTTTTTTCTGTTCCTGGGGGGTTTGACTTGCAGAGGTCCCTTACAACCTTCATTCTGTCACTGACCTTTGGGTCATGCCTGCTATAGAGCTATATAAGGTTACATGATCCTTCTATTTACCAAACCACTTTTCATCTTCCTCCTTATATTCTTCCTGTTTTCCATGTTGCCATGTAGCCTTCCCTTCCATTTGTGTGAAAGGAATCCATTCTATCATTGAAATGTTTCAATCTTGTTATTGAAACATTTATTGAAACATCTAATTATGGCTTTAGCTCCTACATATACAAGTAGCTTTCTCTAGGCCATCTCAACTTTTTTTTTCTTAATTTATGTTGGGTTTTTTTTGCCATGTTTTCTGGAGACATTTTTAATAACTATTTTTAAATTGTAGAAATTGTCATTTTGTTTGATTTAAATATTAAAATTTATTTTTATGGCAAACAATTTCCACAAAATGATCATTTTGTCATCTATCCTTATTAATTCTTCTGTTTCTGATACCTTGGCAGGACAAGAGTAAAGACCTCATTAGAAAATGCTATACATACAGACAGATTTTAATGGAATCCAAAGTACGTATATATTGTGGTGGAAGCAATGCATTTTATTTGTCTAAAGATATCTACAGTGGGTGGTTTTGTAACATTTATAAATTTAAACATTTAAAAAGAAAAAATCTAAATGATTTTCCATAATATACTCCAAAATTCTGGTAAAATACTTGTTTCTGTAAAAATAACGAGTGTGATGTGAACTCCTACGTGATTGGTTTGGTTTTGGTGGTTGGTTGGTTGATGTCATCTGTTTATCTGTTACTCACAATTCTTTTTCCAGATATTTTCTCAATTACTGCTTTAGGTAGAAAGTTTTTTATTGAAAACAAAAATAAAAGAATCAGAGATGCTCCAGTGCTTTACATTCAAATTTAGTTTCCTCATGTTTTTGATTTTTTTTCCACTTCGAGATATATTTAAATTAAAACAATTACTTTTACAACTTCTACATAGACTGATACAGTTTTCTGCTTTTGTATTCTTTTCATGCCTCGAAAAATTAAGAAATTTATATTCCATGTAAATAAGCCCATAAAATATGATCTGAATGGAACCAGAAGATCTTTAGAAGATATAGTGTAATGTTTTGCAGTTTAATGCTTTTAATGGAAGGATCTGGAAGCATTTTTTTTAAGAGAAATACTGTTTTGACGTTGCTATTTTGCCTACTACGTAATTTCTTTAAGACCATTGTTATTTGTATATGTGACAATAAAGCATTCTCTTCAAAATAAATTCAATTTCTGGGCTTCTCAGCCAAGATAATAGAAATATAGCTATATAATTCCTTCGTTATCTTCCGTTGCGCAACACAAAGCGTTAATGTTGTGCAGTAATGCTGAACATTCAAGTGTAAAATAGGTGCCTGTTGGGATCCCCTTTTTTCGTAATTACTGTATTCCAACAGGGAAGTTACTACATAGAACAAGCAATAATAAGCTGCAATTAGCACACTAAGTTTTCATAGTTTGTCATTTGTTTAATTTAACTGGAGAGATTTAGAAAAAAAGAAATCTGAAGTGTACTTCATTTACAGTTTACTCTGAAAGACATTGAGGCCCTGGAGCGGGTTCAAAGAAGGGCAACAAAGCTGGTGAGGGGGCTGGAGCACAAGCCTTATGAGGAGTGGCTGAAGGAGCTGGGATTGTTCAGTCTGGAGAAGAGGAGGCTCAGGGGAGACCTTATTGCTCTCTATAACTACCTGAAGGGAGGTTGTAGTGAGCTAGGGGTCAGACACTTCTCTCATGTAACTGGTGACAGGACTAGAGGGAATGGCTTCAAGCTGTGCCGGGGGAGATTTAGTCTGGACGTTATGGAATAATTCTCTGAAAGAGTGGTCAAGCACTGGAATGGGAGGTGGTGGAGTCACCAACCCTGGAGGTGTTCAAGGAATGTTTGGATTTTGTGTTGAGGGATATGGTTTAGTGAGAACTATTGGTGATAGGTGGATGGTTGGACTGGATGATCTTGTAGGTCTTTTCCAACCTTGGTGTTTTTGTGATTCTGTGATTCTGTGAATGAACTGCCATCAAAATCCTGCATTTCTTTAAAGATGTTAAGATTAATAATTGATATCAGAAAATCAGAATTATTTAATCATGATCACTGTGATATCAACAGACCCTGTAATACTATTCTAATAAGATCATCTTTTACTGAGAATTCAGTGAGAAAACTTTCACTTCTTAACTGCACAGAAAATCCTGTCCTGTGCAATTACTCTGTTGTGCATTTAATATCCCATCTGGCAGTTTTTATTAAGATTATTGCCCCAGACTGAATTCAGTGAACCTGAGCCATGTCTGATAACGCATTCCTTTTAGTAAAATTCTGTTCCATGTACCTTACTGCTTGCTGTTGACCAAGTTCTCACTCCTCTGCTGAATCCATTGACAGTTATTAAAGCATCTGTGTTGTCATTATCTTTTCTCCTGACTCAAAGAAAAATCAAAAATGTACATGAAATTAATTTTTTTCAGGCCTAGGAATAGCAAAACTATTGTCATCTCCATCCCATGATAGGTAGATATTCATGGCAGCCATAGCTGACTGTAGTCTGCCTAATGACCCATATACCAAATATCAGCATATGTTTGTATATATTTCTTTATCCATTTTTGGTTGGATTTGTGGCTTTGTAGCTCAATCATCTCAACAACATCTGTTCAGGAAAAAAAATTAAAAAAAAAAATAAAAAAAGATTAAAAAGTTGGATCCTTTCCCTTCCTTCCATCTGCTGTTTTCCAGATGAAGTCCTGTTTTGACTGAGCTAAAAAAATTTGTACCAGATCCTGGCTACAGATCATGAGGACATGTGAGCAATCAGGACATTTGAATGCTCCATCTGTGTTTGTATGAAGAGGACTGTTAAAAACTAATTCCCCTCCCACCCAAAAAAAAACCCTCTAACTCAGCAAGCAGACTTCAGTTCCAACAAATGTTTAAGTACATGCTTATTTCTTTTTCATTAAGCATTTCTTTTTGATTAAACGAATAGGTCCCAGCTTAATTTTAAGGATATATTTATTTCTGTTTCGTTTAATACTGAACATGTGATACAGCCATATCCTGAGAAGTCCACCCTACAAGAAATAAAGGCAAAATTTCATGATCAAGATTTTGCCATTGGATAACTACAGCAAGATGGAACTAAGTTTAACCAAGAATGTAAATATTTCCTTTAAAAAAGAAAAAAAGCAAATGTCCATAATCTATGAAATGTTATACTAGAACTTAAATTCCTTTCTGCATCATAACTGAAGTAAGTTTTGCATGCTACTGGAACTCTGTTGGGATTTATCCTGATAGATTTCTAGACTGCGAAGATATACCTAAATAGGACTTTCATTGAATATATTTAGGTAAAAATTCATTGCATTGGAACAGCAATAATTTCAGAATGCAATCTGACTTCTGCGAAGGTTGGCAATTGTGTTCTGCAAATAAACATTAGAAAAAGCAGAGATGTTCATTCCTCACTTGGATTAGATATCTTTCTAAATAATATTGTAGTTAAAGCACAGCATCAAATTAATGTTGCATATATTCCAAAAAATTGTCTTCAGCAAAAGCCAAACTAGATAAATTAAAAAAAAAAAAAAAAAAAAAAGTATTGGTTTTTTTCAGAAAAGTATTTATGAAAAAGAATGTTAAAAATAGATATATTGTATGCAAAAAGAAGTTAGAAAAAAAAAAAAAAAAAAAAAGCATTGGAAGAAAGAAACTATAGACAAAAAAGGAAGTCCTTTTGTACACCATCTAGAACTCCAACAAAGAGAAGGAAAAGGAAAGAATTTTCATTAGCCCCTAGCAAAAAATCAAAAGCATTAATTGTGGAGGGAAAATCTAAAAATTAACAGAAGTAAAAACATATCAAAGACTATTAAATGAAGCACTGAGCTTTATAGAGATAAGAGGCAATCTTCTATAGCGTATTTCTTCAAACAAAGAAAGCAGAATAGTTGTAATCCAGAATCAATGGAATCAATGAAGATATATAAATAATCTTTGATGAGCATCAGAGCACAAGTAAATTAAAAAAAAAAAAAAAAAAAAAAAAAAGTAGCATTAAAGGCCATGCTGACAGAGTGTGAAAAATATGAAAAATAGTTTCAGTTTTGACTTTGAAATTTTGAACTGGTCAAACAACTATGAAATGGAACAGTATTTAATCATATTTTAAAAGGAGTTTATAAACATGAGGGAAATAAACTTTTTACAAGGGTATATAGTGATAGAACAAGGAGGAATGGTTTTAAACTAAAGGAGGGGAAATTTAGATTGCATGTCAGGGGGAAGTTTTTCACTAAGTGACTGGTGAGGTGCTGGAACAGGCTGCCCAGAGAGGCTGTGAATGCCCCATTCCTGGGGGTGCATAAGTTCAGGTTGGATGTGGCCCTGGACAATCTGATCTAGTACTTGATCTGGCAGTTGACAACCTGT